CTGTTGTACTTCGTTCAGTTACGTATTGCGGTTTTTACTATCATGTTTTTGATCAAAATTGAGCTCCAAACACGCAGAATATTTTTCATCTACCTCCATGTCTGAAAAAGGTGTTTCGCTTTAAACGTGTCCAATTTGGCCCGTCCTGTACACTTGGTATGGCAATTGAAAAGTTCGTTTTATATTGAAAATTTGAGCTGCTAGGTCAAAAAATAGACAATATGAAATAATGACTTACCACTCCCGGCTTTGTACCAGACTGGGCAGAGTCCGTTGCTGGTATTGGTGGCTCTCTAGCATCAGCTTCATTACATACTCGAAAGAGCATCTCCACCTCCTCCGGGTCCAGAACTGGTAACTCCTCTGAGACCTGTAACAAAATGGGTATTATAAAATCTTAATTTTTGGTATTAATTTTTATATTGATAATTTGAGCTGCTAGGTTAAAAAATAGACAATATGAAATAATGACTTACCACTACCGGCATTGTACCAGACTGGGCAGAGCCCGTTGCTGGTATTGGTGGCTCTCTAGCATCAGCTTCATCCCATACTCGAAAGATCATCTCCACCTCCTCCGGGGCCAGACCTGGTAACTCCTCTAAAACCTGTAACAAAATGGGTATTATAAAATCTTAATTTTTGACTGATAACATAAGAACGAGATAGAAAATGCCGAAGGGAAGAAATTTATAAACTGCGAATAACATCACTTTGGGGTTTAAATTTGATGCTCAGGAATCCCCAGTATCAATAAGATGTATCAAAGTATATGTGGTGATATTTCAGATTTTATAATTTTTACTCTGAATATTACGTGGTAATTAATATTATATAAATAATAATTGGTTATCAGCAAGTTTCCACATATTTGGTTTCTTTTTAGATGTTTTGGAGGTGCTGGGTTCACAAAATAAAGGGATCTGTATACTTACAACTACCGGAGGCGGTACCTCGGAATAGGCAGGTACGTCGATGGTAGGTGCTGGAAGTTGACCCTTGATCTGTAAAATTAAAATAAATGTAAATATAAAATGCTTATATATATGAACTAAATTTCTCAAAATTTTGTTCAAAAAAAAGTGTGAAGTAAGGACTTACAGGGGCCGGAGGTGGAACGCAGGCTAGGGTGGGATAGTCAGAGGGAGCATACACAGGCAGTTGGCAGTTCTAGAAAAAATTAAGTAAATTTAAAAAGCCTATATGAACTAAATTTTCAAAATTTTGTTCTAAAACAAAAAGTGTGAAGGACTTAGAGGCCGGAGGTGGAACGCAGGCTGGGGTGGGATAGTCAAGGGGAGCATACACAGGCAGTTGGCAGTTGTGAAAATTAGTAGAAATTTTAAAAATACTATATGAACTAAATTTTTCAAGAATTTTGTTTCAAAACTAAAAATTATTGAAGTAAGGACTTGAGACGGAGGTGGAACCTTAATTTAGAAGTTGGGATAGTCCTGGAGACCTTTACAGGCAGTTAGCAAGTTCTGTTAAAGAAAATTAGTAAATTTAAAAAAAGCTTCTATGAACTAAATTTTCAGGTACATTCAAAACTAAAGAATGTGAAGTAAGGACTTACAGGGACCGGAGGTGGAACGCAGGCTGGGGTGGGATGGTCAGGGGGAGCATACACAGGCAGTTGGCAGTTCTGTAAAAGAAAAATAAGTAAATATAAAATAATTTTTTTTTTTTTTTAAATGGAACTTTGGTGTGCTGTATATTATTTTCATTCTTTTTATAGTATACCTAATAACAGTGCAATGAAATAGTTATTACAGTAAAAGTGTGTTTATGAACATGATTACAACAACGAGTGTGCATGAACGACGAGGTAGTAGACCGAGTCGTTCTAATCACACGAGTGTTATCATGTTCGCTACTGTCACATATACAACCGTTTATCAACTTGTAGAAAAATTGGAAAATGCTATTTTAAATTTCGTTTATTAGTCGCCTACCTTTAACACTTTTAACTATGACATTTGTCACATTTATGCTGAAAATCAGTTGCCCTGTCAAAGTAAACCTGGTACTTTTGCCAAGAAAAATCATTTTAAAGAAAGAGTGATGAGCGATTCCGAAGAATACTCCCTTCAGATGTAGAACTTGCCGCAGTTTGTGCCACGGAATCATTATTGCCGGAAAAGTTAATATATTTAGATGTTCGTAGTTGTTTTCATTATTATGGCAACTAGTTCTGTTATAGATTCATACTTACCACTAGTTGTGTTACGAATCTCATAAGGTAATTGAAATACTAAAAAATAGTGATTCTTTGTAAAAACGTTATATAACTAAACGGTTGAGACTAAAAATTATTTTACAAATTTTTGGAAAATTGAAAGTTGTACACATTCCTTGATTCAAAATATTAACTTACCAGTGGAGGAAGAGTTTGCTGCGCGTATGTTCTGGGGGCCAGGTTGGTAGTTGACCCTGAAGGGCCATAGTAGTAGTTAGAAGGAGTCTGGGTACTGATTTTGCTAAGATTTTGCGAAACTGTAAAAAATATATTTGTTTAATGAAAGTTCTTAAATTAAAAAATAATCTACATTATGAGTTCTTGCTTCGAAAAAGTACCATATCATATACCATTTTTTTTCATTATTCCGAACATGGTAGTTCTATTTTTTAAATATTTTTTTTTATTTTATTCTAATTTCTAAGTTTTGAATAATATTTTTAAAAAATGTTATTACAAAATATAATTCTTATTTTAAAAAATACGATTTTTTGTGTAATGAGATTGTCTTACGTTGTGTAGACATTGATAATTGTACTAACTTGAAATACTTTTTATAAAAAAAATAACTACATATCTTAGTTGTGTATCCTAAACATATGTGTATCCATTGGTACTTACTTGAGGAGGATGTTGCATTATGGGGGGCATGGTTCGATAGGAACTGCACACACCAGGCTGTTGATAGGATTGATAGGAACCATTATACGGATGGTACCGACACGATGTTGGTCTCCTAACCTGCAAATACATATCACGGATTATTATTTAAATAGGGTACCTTCGAAAGTAGCAAAACAATGCTTTAGTATGTAGGTTATTAGTATTATTATTTGGGTTTGGAACTTTTGGTGTTACAACGTCAACACTTTAGTTTTGCACTGGACACGCGTTTCGCTAACCATGTTGGCATCATCAGATGATTAAAACTGATTTTAGGTGATTAGGAGTTTTAATAATCTACTGATGATTCTCCAACATTAATAACTATAGAACATGTTGAGTCTAAAAAGGCAGAATGTTCTAATGGTTTTTGAATTAGAGTTTTTGTACACTTAGGTTATTTTTGCTTAATTATAGTACTATAGGAAAAGTCGTGCACCTAGTGACATTTTACAAGAAATTTATGTAATAATATAATAATGAATAACTTATTGAGCAGTAAATTCGAAAAACTTGTTTTGATAGAGCCCATAGAGCTAACCAACAGATATTCCAATGTGAAAAAAATGTGAATTAGAGACAAGAGATTAAGTTAAAAAAAATCATACAACAAATTAAAAAATGTAGTAAAATCTATTTAAATATATGATTTTTGAGAGATTTTTTTGTATTATAGAGGGCGAGTCTTAAATATGTTCAAATATTTTTAGGGCTGGCAGATGTGGATTAAAGATATAAGATATATATATTAGTTTTTTTACCACATTTGTTTCAATACTAACCAAAATATACTGAAGCCACGGTGTTTCTTTTTTGTAAAAGAAATACAGCGATACAATATATTTTAGTTGGCATTAAAGACACAGACTGGTAGAAAACTTTAAATCTCTTCCTTTCTCGAAAATATCAAAATAAGTTGACACTTCTTAGTGTGGTATGGATTTTCAATTCAACCCCTAAGGGGGTGAAATCAGGGGTAGATTTTATATAAGAAAAAAATGAGATATAAAACTAAGTGCCTTCAAGGGAATGATCAGACCTTCAGAAACGATTTTGAAAATTCTAAGGGGTGAGAATTTGTATAAATGATTTTTTTTTTAATCCAATCCCTGAGGTATGAACATTTTACATGGAACTAAAGTGGGCACTTTGAAACTGTTTCAAAAAACCATCCCCTAAGAGGCTAAAATTAGGAACGAAAGTTTGAACAAAAATAGTTAAAATGTAGCTTCTAAAAGTATGAAACTTTGCACAGGGTTTTTTTAAGCGGTGTAATTGAACACTTTTTGAATTTACTATAAAAGCTTTATAAAATCGATCTTAGCAGTCTGAAATTTTAAATGGATGTTCCTGTGTGATGAGAGTGAGTTTTCAATAGTGATTTTTGGAAATTCATCCCTATGCGTGTGAAATTAGGGGCGAACATTTGTTAAAATGGTTCTATAACAACAGATACTTGATTAGACCACGTTTTCTCAGATTAAAATGAACTGTTAGGTCGTTTTTTAAGTTTAAAGTAAGATGACATGAAAATTTAGAAATGCTGTTTCTTTTTTGTAAAATTTTAATCATATAAAAATGTAAGAAACTTCAGATTTTTACACCGGACAGTCCCAAGGAAAACTAGTCTTTTATAAGTTACTGCCAAAATTATTTTTAAATTTAGTATATTTCGACCCCAAACACGATTATAGGGTTTTTTAGTTGAGAATAATCTCACTTGATAATGGAAAAAATAGAAAGTAGATTAAATTTACCAAAGGAAAAAAACAGAAAAGATCAGTGGTTCTCAAAATTTAAGCAGAAAAATATATTTACTTTTTCTGCACTACAGTAAAGCTATCGGTTATTTTTTGAACTTATTTGGATTAAAGAGGATATAATATCATGTTTCTTTTATCAGGATCTACCAGCTCTAACATTTCCACTTATTTAAAACTTACCCTGTATATTATTTTAAACAACTGTTAAATTAAGTTTAGAGATAATAGCTTAAATATTAAAGGTATACATATTAATATATTCCTATAATATATTAATAATGTATATATAGATATTAATATATTATAAGTAGGTACAATAATTAATCAATAACAACAAAATATCAAAAATAAGCTGCCATATACTTAAACATTATAAGAAAATATATCCTTGAAATATTTTATATAATATCTTGTACAAAATAAATCAGAATTAGATAAAGCAATTTTTGAACAATACTTAAATTCGGAATTTAAGATATAACTTATAATTAAAAATAAATTTATTTAAAGTATACATGGCACATGAAAATATATAGAAAAATAAGTACACTTACAGTTGCTAAAGTTTTTAAAATTGTTATAACTAACGTTGAATCCCTGCATGTTCATCGTTCAAAGTTTGGAGAATTCGAGAGGAAACACACTAAACTTGAAATTACACGGAAAACTGACCAAAAATTGCAAAACATTGATATTTATAGGAAACCCTCCCGCCCTACCTCTTTATTATTAACAATGGGGATAGGGCTGGACCAATCAGGTACGCGTCTGGGGGTGGTTCCGCCCTCGCCCTGGTACTCGGTACCCAGTTGTCTCAATTAACTCTAGTGGGGAAAATTATATTTTCTAATGCCAAGCATATAGGAACATGACAAAATTGAATTTTTTTGATTTTTGGTTTCATATAAAATGTTAGTTTATTAATTATAGTATTTTTAAAGAGGAAGATTGAAATATATCTTGTTAATTTCAGTATTATCTTTATTTAACGATAGCTTATCAAGAATCTTAAAAGTTCAGTCTATGCCTCTCTAAAAAGGGCATAGCACAGTGGTTCCCAGATAAGTCATTACTTAGAAATATAAATTTCAAAATGTTTTTGCATATGGCATTATAATACTTTTCTTATAGTCCCCTGTAAACGATACATAATAAATATTTTACCAAAATAAAAGTAAGCCTAGTGTAGCGCTTTTTATTAGAAATGTCACATTTTTGCTACTGATATCAAGTTGACATAAACAGTTTTCATATAACTTAAAATTAGGCCCTTTTTCAGGTGATAGCTGTTGCCTTTTCTGTAATGGACGTTCAAGAAAAAAAATTAAAAGAACTTTTTTTTTTTTTTTTTTTTTTTTTTTTTTTTTTATTATTTTTATATTAGTAGTTTTTTAAAATAGTATTTTACATTTTGCTAATCACTCTTGAGACTTTTAACTTCTTTCCCTTTCAAATCCTCTTAAACGGCATGATAATACTTGTTAAAGTATATTGCATATAAATTA